ATCGTCGACTTGCTTGTCGACGGTGATCTGCTTCTTTTTTCAGGTTTATAATCAGCTGGATCTTTATTAATCATGGCATTTTCAGAATTAAATCAAAGACGTCGAGTTCAATAAACTCGACTTTGCCAAGGAAATTATCACAATCGATTGCTATACACAAGACGAGCTTAGGTATCGTCTTTTCAAATTTTTTCCAAGTGAGCAATCATCGCCTTATTTAGGTTCAGTTTTTCCCTTCTTACCACGAGTGTGCAAGCAAATCTGATCGACGTTTAAGTATCTTCAAGAGCCCATAGAGGTTTTGCTTAACCGTCTGCCTTAACCTTTTGGACCATCAAAGCTGACTTTTGCTCGACATGCTCATATTTGTTCACAAAAACATCTTATGTAGACATTAGAACGGGAGTTTTGCGCCTCCACAACATTCACAGTATTCTTTATTCGCCTCGTGGAAAGCCCCGCCTCTACTAGTCGTTCCTACTTTTTGGTGGCCGGGAGCGCTTAAATTGTCGGCTATTGCTCAACCGATTAGATTGCAAACTATGTGTCGCTTGCTGGCTTGGCAAGGACATCTTGAAAGTCTTCGCATTATGACCAGGCTTGCCGCAACGGAAGTATTTTCGTCATTATCTGAGTGTCTATTGGCGACCGCATCAGCGTAGGAAATGTCCATCGGTCCCGGACACTTGTACGTGGGAGCTTGTTGTCTTGTTGGTCGAGCGATGAAGCCGCTAAACGTAACTTAAGGCTAGATTCTTCTTGCAACGCACACTCAACAGCTTCGTCTAGCGTCTCCAATTATTCAAGGAATGGGTGATTAAGATTCGGACCATCGTCGAGTCATTCCATAAAAGTCACAAGCTGCGGTGAGACATCAATCGGCTGGCTGGTGATATTTGAAACACGATATCGCGCTCGTTGTGTGTACGAGGGTAGATCACGACTGCTCTGATAAAGCTTGAGAGATTGGCACGAGCTTCAAATTTGCTCTGAGGAGCCTTATAAGATTTATCAACTTTTGCTTGACGTAATCGCGGGCATGGATGCAAGGTTGATCGGTTAACGCTGTCAATATTTTCAACGCTTTGTCCGAACCGCTAGGTTAGACATCAAGTATAAAATTTGCTGCACTGGATCCACATTCTGTCTCACAGCAATCGCCGCATTAGACTCTACGACCCTTCTAGAGAAAATTTTTTGATGTCGTGACAGGACATGCGGGCTGTCAGCAAAAACTCATCATCTCGTTATGCATAAAGCTCGTAGTCGCAAACATATGCTCATCTGGCGATGCTGATATTAGCAAGCTGATCACAGCGTCGTTTCTCACAATCGGATATGAATCTTGCAACACCCGCACAAGCTACACAAGCAGCCTATTTAGACTTTTGACTTAGTCGTAGGAAGGACTTCAACGTGCTACTAGGTGTGATAGGCTATCCGGGATAACCCCAAACTCGACACGTACGTTTGGCTTGAGATTGCGACAAAACTGCTACCGAATTAAAAAGAGACCGATGATCGCTGCAAACAACATTTCACGTTGTCTTTGCTTGCTTTTGCTGTCATGCGTAACTTTTTTGACCTGCAGTGAGACATTTTCAATTGAAGGACAAGATAGTGAGCTACGAGCTTGCAATGACCAAGCAACACGGAAGAACATTTCTTAGCGTCGACTGCTGATCAATCGTCATATATCTTACTTAAATATATTGCAAAGGATCACATCATCTGCGATCATGAATTTTTTAGATCACATATTTACTTGAGACACGCTTCTGACAAAGAAACAGCAGCCCACAATTTATTCCAAATAGCGCGCGTTGACAAGGTCAAGACGAATTTTTTTGAGACGAGGGTTCTCCACGTGGTCGATACATCTACGGAAGGCCTACCCAAACGATTACGAGAGTAGAGCAGAAATTATGGTGTCGGTGCTGGTCAATCACGGACAGGACATACTGATCGACTTCTTGTCAAAGGCACGATAAATTTTGACATTTTATTTAAAGATGCACTGATAACCTTTCTCGCCAACGCTAAGAGTGCTCAGAATACCAAAGATTTATTGATTGTCTCTATCAAAACCCAGTGATCACCTGCAGAAGGCAGACGACACTTTAAAAATTGTTTGAGCGTAAACAAAGGAAATGTATGAGCGAATAGAAATCAAATTCTTCTTGAAACTGATTGGCAGCAACAAGAAGAATTCGGTTCACGACAAAACTCTCCAATTAGTGTTGTTTTCGCTACGGACAGGGAGAAGAGAGTCACATATCTTCTTGAGACACGCATCTAACAGAGATCAAGCAGCTTCCATACGGCTAAAAATTGCCCACGCTGACATGGTTGAGGGTGATGTCTTCAGTAGCCAGGAATTTCAAATTTGGGCGAAATGTTTTGCGAACGCCTTTCTAGATGATCCAAAACTGGTGGATTAAACTCATGGTGCATGATTTGATATTTCACGAGGAAATAAGAATGGTCAACATCATTTCAACTACTAAGGTCGTCAACGGCAATTATCATTCGGTGATTTTTCTAAAGCCGCGCTGCTGGGTGAACTCGACTGGTTTAAAAATGCTATGCGCATTAACTATGTTACTAAACCTTTAGAAGACTCGCTGTTTTAACCCAGTCATACTCTACAGCTGGGAGATGAGATCTCAAGGACTATTGGTGAGAAACTAGCAGATAAACTATATGTTGAAAGCATGAGCGACTGGTTCGCTCACTCGAATACAAGTACGTACAAAAATAGTACCATTCTCAGTCTGAAAAGGAGGGGGGAACTGCTACCAGCATTTCAAAACGCAAGTTAAATTGGCAAAGGTTAAGCAACGGTGACATTGGTTACGCATATCATCACGCTAAAAGCGCATTCGCAAAGACAATTATGAAAGAATTGGGTGGACTATATGTCAGAAAAGATCTTGTCGACTATATGCAGGATGTACGGATGAAGACAGTGCAGTTGAGAGAAGCGATCGTCGGCCAGAGTTCCAGTTTCGGCAAGTGGGTAATGGACGAAGCAGAGCCAAAAGCTGACGCCGGCAAGTTTGTGTTGCCTACATTGGAAACTGATCAAACGAATTAACGCATTGTTCTTCATTGTTCTGCTACTAAATCTTTCAGCAAATGATGCGATAACCCTTAAAGAAATACAGGTTGCGATCGAGCTGGCAGAAAAAAATAGAACGAACATGTTAGGGTCCAAAATCTTACGAAGGGTTTTGAAAATAATCAAGTACAGGTACGCAATTTCGTCATTATCCGCTCATTTCAATTTTTTCGTTGATGCTGATTTTCTTAGACAAGTGAGTGGGATACTAGTTTTCTCAGACATAGCACTATGATCCAATTAATGGTACTGTGGACTATCGGCGCGTACGGATGATGTCAGATCTGCAAGTATCAGACAACGAAGAACTCGCGATAATAGTACTAACACATGTAGAATCGTTGCCGCGAAAGAGCCATACAAGCTTCCGGTTCTTACACTTAATTTCTTAAAGTATTTATTCTTGAGGAGTTAACAGTGATATTAAGAAATACTATGCACATTTTAACGCAAAATCACTACAACTTTATCTACCACGCACTCGTGAAGAATTTGAGCCAATTGTTAACTCAAACTGTTGTTAGTGGGCCACACCAGGGTAAGGAATGTGCGGTGCTTACCCCTAAGAAACAATTTTGTACAACGTATACATTATTGTATACAGACCTTGCAATTTTGTACATTTGTTCAAATACAATATTGTCATCCTAACTTTGACACATCAATAAATTATTTCGTAATGGCTCGAATATTTTGCTTACAGTGTTGTCGCTCAGAGAAGGGAAGAAAAACTAAATTCATACTTCGATCACGTATGTAATCGACAGCTGGGATACATGTGAATTGCATATGATCTTCAGCGCTTTCAATCACGATTGTGAGAGCACGGGTAGCTCAGTTGAAAGTTGCTATGTATTATCTTATTACACGGCTATACCTACTCG